CAGCCCCCCCCCGGGGCGCTTGCATCTGTGCCTGTGAGGAGGCTCTGGGCAGCGCCTCTCACACGACTGTCCCTGTTTCTTCCCACCGCCCTCCCCTCCGCGAAGCCTGCCCAGCCGGCCGCTCCATGCCCAGCAAAGGCGATGGCGACGTTTCAATAGAGTTTGGGCCCCTGCCACCTCCTCCTGCTACTCTGGTGAGTTTGTTTCTCGGACAACAATGCAGAGTTTGAAGCTTATCCAGGGACACGCTTCTATCTGCCCCCTGCAAGTTCCAGTAATAGCCCCTGTTTATGGTTATATAAATAATGAAAAGCGCGCTCAAGACACGTCCCCAGGGAGCCCCAGCCTCCTATTTTTAGGCGGTCAGCTCTCCCTCCCGAGGATCTGGGTCCCTCCCTCTGTGGTCTGGGTTGAGGTGGCGATGCTGGTGCCTGTGGTGGGAGGGGGGACAATTTTAAAATCCCTTTGCAGAGATTGCTCTCCCGAGGCTGAAAGCGATTTCCTAAGAAGTGAGGGCTGGGCAGAGGTATGAGTTCTGTTTGTTTGTCCCACTGGGGACTGAGGGCTCCCTGAAAGAGGAGGGACAGGCTGGCTGTTAAGTCCTGGATCTCTTCCTCCAAGGAGGGAACAGACAGCTGTGGAGGGTGTGCTCCATGTCAGCCATTGTACCCTTGCTGAAGCCTCTTTATAAAGACGGGATTGTGGACCCATTATACAGATGAGGGTGTCAAGGTTCAGGGCGGCCAAGTGAGCAACCCAAGGACACCCAACCAGGAATGCACAGCCGATCCAGCTCGGATCTGCATCTGTCTCCCGCCGCACCCTGCCACCCAAGGTTAACTTAAAAGACCAGGTGCCTTGGGTGAGAAAGCGTTCTTTCAAAGATAACTTGAATTCAAAATGCAAATTGGGGATGGTTCTTCTCTGATTGCATTCACATGGAAACCGAACCCAGGAAATATGAGAGCAGCCTAAGAGCCTGAATGAGCTTAAGAAAAAAAAAACAACTGTCCCTGTCAGAGCGGAGACAGGCGTAGGGCACCTGTGGCGTTTCCCTCCCTGGCTGTACAGTACTTTAAGAGCATCGCTAATCCTTACTTGTTTGAAGTGGTTTGGGCGTGGTCCTCTCTAACTCAGAGACTAAGCAAGACAGCACTTAGAGTCCCTGTCAATTTCTTGGAGTCAGTGGCCTAAAGATTAAAGGCGTCTTGTTACCAGAACAGCTCCAAGCCTTGGCAACACCCCCAAGCTCAGCGATGAGAAGGATGGGGAGTGAGTCGGGTGAATGCTTTTAGGTGCTATTTACCCAGCTCCACATCTGCACTCTGAGGCTGCTTTACAGCCTGTTCTGAAACACCTTGGTTTTCCCATCCATAAAATGGGCACGCGTTGGGTCCTTCTCCTCCAGGCTCCTGCAGCAGCTGGTACCCATTGGTGTGCCCTTTAGTGACGGTCTGTTCATGTCCCTTTCATTCCAGCCTCTGGAATCCCTCAGGTCAGGGACTGACTCCTTCACTGTAGAGTCTGAACTCCTGGCACTAAATCGTGAGTGAGTGAATGAATGAATGAGTGAATGGATGAATGAATGAATGAATGAATGAATGAACATATGAATAAGGGCAACAGTTTACTGCAGTTGCCTTGGATGGCTCATAAGAATGAAGTGATAAACATTCAGGAATTTTACAAGCCCAAATTGTTAACTTATTGGGAGCTTGAAATTGACCACGGTGGGCGTATTTATACCAGGAAATAAATCAGCAAATGCCACCGAGATGGCTTCTCTCCCCGTTTTCAGAGCCTGTTTTACAGCTCACCGTGGGGGAGCACGTACCACACTGGGCACTGTTTCAACACTTTACATCTAAGAATCCACATCTAACCCTCACAGCCACCGTTATTGTTGCCTTTTTTACAGATGCGGAAACTGAGGCCCAGGGAGGCGAAGGCAGTCGCCTTCCCCGGCGCGAATGGGAGCGAGCCGGCTGTCCTGCCCGGCTCTGGGCTCAGCTGCCCGTCGGCCTCACAGGTACCCGCCATGCTCATCACGGCCCGGTTTCTAATCAGCTCCTCGGGATGGAGAGACGCAGTTGCCTGGTGACTGAAGTGTTTCCCAACCCTCAGAAGGTCATGCTGCGTGCGGGAGGATAAAGATCACCGCACGGGGTGCCCCTCATCCAGGGCTTCAGACAACAGATCCAATCAGCCGGCCGGACCCCATGCGACGCTCCAGACCTCTTTCGTGACGCCAACAGAGCCATGGGTAAGATTGAATTAAAGCTGTGACGTCCTGGAACAGCGCCATGGGCTTTGTGTAGAGACAGCCCTGGCGCGTGGGTGTGCATCAATGCCAGCCAAGGGGGCAAAGCCCAGGCAGAGGGTGGGCGCCTCCGACGACGATCATGGGCCCCTCAAAGCTCAGCTTTAGGGATAACAGCCTCCAGGAACCCTTGTTCACCCCCCTGCGTGGTCACCTCCTCTGGGTCAGTGTCCCTACCCTTCTATCGGTTCCTGGACCCTCCAGAGCCCCGAGTATGGCGTACAGCCGGCCCTCCATAAATGTGCAGTGAATACCTGCAGAAAGGAAGGCGGGAAGCCCACAGATTGTGCATTGGCATCTGCACGCCGGCTGCCACCAGGAGCTCCCAATTCTTTCCCCAGGCCCTGCCGTCAGGAATAAGTCCCCTCGGTCACCACACCCCAGCCCTCTCTTGGCTAAGGTGGTGTGTTTGGCAGCAGACCCAGGAGAGTGGCAGAGACCCTGGGAAGGCCTCTGGGAGGAAGTGATTACCCTACGATCTGAAGAGGAAGCCCCAGCCACAGGAAGAGGGAGGGGAAGGGAGTTCTGGGCAGAAGGAACAAGTGTAAGTGCTTGTCTGGGAGCTGATAGGGGCCAGTGGGCCTTGAGATGAAGTGGACAGTGTAGACAGGTGGTGGAATAAACACCAGCTCCCTTCACCCGTACACTGGAGGGGGCCTCTCTGTGGTCACCTGAAGGGCAGAGCGGCACCCTGCACCCCTCACTGTCCCCCGCACCATCCCAGGGCCCCATTCCCACCCACACACTGCCCTTGGCTCCAGGAGCAGCCATGCCCAGGGGAGGAGACGCAGTCTTGAGAACGCCTTTTTCCATATCCTCAGCAGAAAGCCCCATCGTTGAATCCTTGAATAACTGAATGGGATAACATTCCAGGAACCAATGTTTTAAGTCAGAATAAAAGAGTTCCCAGCAGTTGTGGGTAATTCCCAGGGGGCCTGGGATCCCCCTTTCTGACCCCAGAGCCAGTCTGGGCTTCTAGATTCCTTCTGACCCAAACTGCAGTCTCTAGGTCAGCTGCTGTCTGATAGCCCACGGCTCCCCACGGCGAGGTCTCAGAACCACCCAAGGGTGCTTGTAAAATGTCCATCCCAGGAGCTGCCCCAGCTCCCTGATGCCAAGAGTAATGGGCAGCTGGATTTTCAACCAGAACCAGGCTGATTCTGCTGCTCCAGCAGGTTTCAGGAGCCCCCTGGTGGTTCTGAAAGGCACCCCTGCCCCTGGAAAGGGTTGTGACCCTTTGCTTGGGCCTGTGGCCTGCAGCCATGGGCACCCCATCCCCAGAGCCCTGTGAACCTGATGTAGGTGAGCCCACCCAAACCTCTGTGAGCACTGGAGCACCCTTGCCCTCACCCCAGCACTATCGCAGAGCCTGGCACCCAGGACACGGAATACTTGCCCATCAGGGATGGCCCTGTCAGTCACCAAGCACCCTAGAGCCCTGAGTTTGGGAACTGGGAAGTCTTGACTTTGATTTTCAGCTCTCCTGTGTGACCTCTCTGGGAATGAGCTGCTCACTTGCAAAGTGGACTTGATTCCACAGAGACCACCTTGAGCCATGTCCCATGCCAGGCCCTTCTGATGGGCCTTTCACGAACTATACTATCCCCATTTTCAGGAGAAGGACTCCTGGCCAGGCAGGTGGCAGGACTAGCCCCCCCTCGCCCCCAGCCTGGCTGTCGAACCTGATCCCTTTCAGTGGTTCTCAACCTTCCTAATGCCGCCACCCTTCAATACAGCTCCTCATGGTGTGGTGACCCCCAACCATAAAATTATTTTTGTTGCTACTTCATAACTGTCATTTTGCTACTGTTATGTTTCAGGTGACCCCCAAAGGGGTCGCGACCCACAGGTTGAGAACCGCTGCTTTAAGCCATCTTAACGCAGAACTTCTCCCATGGATTGGGGACCGCAGCATGGCCTCTCTGGCAGTGTGTCTTAAATGCAGCCTGCCTGAGTCAGAGCTCCCCACCCTAAAGTTTGGGTCCCTCCCCTCCAGCCCCCAACTGTCAAGCTCCAGTGCTGTTTGGCTAGATGGGCGGGTTGTCACGAAGGTGTGTCCCCTTCATTAGGTGTTGGGGGAGGGGCTTTCGCGGACTAAGCCAAGCAAAGCACCTGGTGCCTGGTGCACATTCAAGGTGGATTACTCTTGTTACAGCCTTTACTGCTGTTCGCCACAGAGCTCATTAATGCTTGCTGCCGCCCTCCTTCACTGTCCCAGGAGGGCCTCCTCTCCTGAGATCTGGGAGGACGTGTGCTGGAACCGGGGTGGGGGTGGGCACAGGAACCTCCCAGGGGTTTGATCCTTCCTCTGCTCACGCCCCAACTCGGCTCACACCTGCTTTTTTCCAGAGCCTGCAAGGGTGCGGAAGGGGCGAGGCACGACCAGCAAGGTGAAGAACCTTGGAGGTGGGCTCGTTGGTCCCGCTCCCCGCCTTTCCTGTCCGGAGGCGGGGCGCTTCCCACTCCCCACTCCCGGCTCCCCGCAGTGCGCGAAGCCGGCGCGCTCTAGGACCGCGGCGCGCCGCCCTCCGCCGCTATAAGAGGCTGCGCTCGGGCCCCACGCGGAACCCGCGGCTCAGACCGGTCCCGGCGTCCCGGCTCGCTTTGAACCCGAGGCCGGACCAGCCGCTGCGCAGCCGACTCCAGCTCGGGGCCTGCGGGAGACGCGCGCACGGGGGACCCCGCCGCGGGCACCATGGGCGCTGCCCACTCCGCGTCCGAGGAGGTGCGGGAGCTCGTGGGCAAGACCGGCTGTGAGTATCTCGCGGGGCACGGGCGGGACCGCCGGCCAGCTAGCGCGGGGAATCCCAGCCCACCGCCGGCGCCCGTCCGCGTGCCGCGTGCTGTGTGACCTTGGACCAGTAGCTGGCCCTCTCTGCGCCTCAGTCTCCCCCGCCTGCAAATGGGTCTCCGCCGGCCACTTTGCAGGCTGCGGCGAGGATCCCCGGTGCTGAGTAAGTGTCGAGGCCAGTCATCCTGGCTGCTCTCGAAGTTAACTAATAACCCGGAGCCTGGGGTCTGCGGACCCGGGAGGGAGCAGGGCCCGGACTCCCCCAGCGCAGGGCCGGCGCCGGGGCAGGGAGAGCAAACGCCTGGCAACGCCCAGCTGGCGCGCACCCCGCACCCGAAAGTCGAGTGGGTTTTCGTTGCACAGGGGGAGGAAAGTTTTGAAGTGGGCGGCAGCGGGGTGGGAGTCGGGCTTTGGCTTCGTCCTTTCATCTGTAAAATGGGTTCAGGGGGGCGCAGCTCCCCGGGCAGCGGGGAAGCTTAAGCGAGGCAGCGCCCGCAGAGCACTTTGCGGGAGCCCGGCGACCTTCCTGGAGCTCGCCGGGGCTCCTGGCACCCGCAGAGGCGGGGCGCATGGGGAGGCCCGACCGCGGGGCTGAGGTGACCGCGAGCAACTGACAGGCGGAAGCTTCTGTCTGCCCAAGTCCAGCGGGGCTGGAAACTTGACCGTGGGCCCTGACCTTCGCCCGCCGCGTTCAGCCACCGGCTGTGAAGGGGAGTGTGGACTGTAGACCGGGGAGTCCGGGCAAGCGGGCAAAGTGGCTTTGGAGATGGACAGGCTGGGTGGGAGCCCGGCCAGCGCCACTGTTTTTCTGGCTGTGTGACCTTGGACTAGTCATTTTACCTCCAAGTCTTGGTTTTTGTTTTTTGTGTTTCTCTTTGGAATGGGATGGCTGCTACTACCTGGTAGATGCTCAAGAAATGGGAGCTGCAGATGTTATTTCTAAGGAGCTGGCTCCGGCCATTGGCTGTGAGCTTAGTGCAGATAACCGTGCCTGTAGTCCGTCATGGGGGAACCCAGCCATTGTGCGCCGGCTGGAAGCTGTCTGCACCTTACCCCAATCTGGACACCTCTTTCCGGGATAACTGGATGGAAATTACAGAAACCCCTTAACAACTGGAGTATGTGCGTGTGTGTGCGCGTGTGTGTATGTATATGAATACATGCATACATACATGCACGCCCACATACACACACATATGTATATATCTTCTGTACAAATACAGAGCTATCAGTCACTGGAGAAATAAAAGATGTGGTTCACTATATGTAATATGGAGCCCCCCCCCCCCTTTGTTAAAGGCAGGACTAATAAGAGTATGCATTTGTAATTGCTTTATTTGCATCAAGGACTTGGGAAGGACCTGCAGGCAGTAAGAATAATGGATATTTATGGGGGATCAGGTGGAAAGGATAAAGGGGAGTGAGCTTTTTTTTCACTGTAAACTTTGTTATATCTTCATTTTGAACCACGTGTGAATATTTTACTTCTTCGAAGTGTTTTTATAAAATCCAGTTCAAACCCAAGGTGAGGACAGAGAGGAGGTAGGACTCCCCTCACCTTGGCTTCCTTGGGTTTCCCGTTTTTATTATTTCTTGAGTGCACCCTCCTTGCCTCTCGCTGTCTTGTATCTGGACTGGTGCAAGTGAGGGTTCTCTGTAGCTGAGGTCTCCCCTGGAAGGGTGGGCTGGCCACCAGTGGCCCCCATCTCTCAGGCACCCCCCCCCCCCAGCAGACAGGCAGGCAGGCAGTCTGGGGGAATTTTGGCTGGTTGTGGGTTTGACAGGTGATGGAGCTGCAGAGCATGCTGGGAATCTTGTCAGTTTCCTGGGTCTGCTCTTGCTGGGGGGGAGGGAGGGACAGATGCTCAGCGTGGCTGCTCTGTAGCTTTCCTAGATGTGGCTGATGTGGTGTCCCTTCTTGCTGGCCAGAGCTCAGATTTCACACCCCAAAGGAGGAAGGGGGACAGAAGGTGTCAGGGAAGGATTCTGAGGTCTGAGGGGAGGATGACCACCTTCAGTTCCCTGAACTGTAAATAAAGTTCCTCCTGTCCTCTGGAAGGGGCTGGCACAGTCTGGACACTTCTACCTATTCAGCAAGTATTTGAGGACCAGGGACTGGGGATTTAGAAGTGATGCAGAGAGGCTGCTGTTCCTGAGGGGAGCGCACAATACAGTCAAATCAGTCCATAGGGATCCAGCTCTAGGAACAAGGCAGAATGGGCGCATGAGAGTTGGGGAGAGACGGGGACACATTTCTTTAGGGTGGGCAGGAGGGCTCCCTGAGGAGGGAGGTGGCAATGGAACAGAAACCCAAATAAGGAAGAGCCAGCCACATGGTCAGGGGATGGTGCATTTGGACAGAGGGAGCAGCCACTGCAAAGGTCCTATGGCAGGAAGTCGTTGAGGACAATGAATGAGACTTGTCTGAGTTGGGGACATGGCTATAGTCATAGCTCAGGTTGTGGCAAGAGCCTGATTTAAGGGGTCTTACTAGGTATGTGGCTTTGGGCAGGTGTCCAGTATTACTGGCCATGCGTTAAACACATTTGCATGTCCTGGTCACTCAGCCACAGCGAAGAGTTAAATCTTGGTCTCATGTCTTCCCAGCTGCATGACCTTAAGCAAGTCATTTTACCTCTCCGAGTATCTGTCCCCATCAGGATGCTGGGTTGCTGGGCTTTCCCAGCCTGTCTGAGGAGCAGGGTGAGCCCTGATTTAAAGAGTCACCAGGTCCTTTCCTGAGGACTCCATCTGGAACCCATGAGGAGGGCAAGCGTAGGATGGTGACGGTCAGCCTCGCTCCTTGAGCACCAGGCTCCGGGCTGAGCACTGGCATGCACTCTGGTGGGATCTTCATCACAATCCTCCAGGGAAGGTGGCAATATGGCCATTTGCAGATAAGGAAACTGAGGCTCAGAGGGGTAAAGCAACTTGCCTGCAGTCCCACAGCTCCTAAGTGGAGGGGCGGGTCGCGGGATCCCCAAGCCCACTCTCCTGCCACACTCTGCTTTCTCGATGTTCAGTTGCTGCTCAGATTTCTAGGAACCCAGACCGGGTCGGACAAGTCTGCCCGTGTATTTTTCTCACCTCCAGGCCCTTGCTCGAGCTGTTCCCTCTGCCTGAGCACACTTTCATTTTGCTGTGCGCCGTTCGGTATTTACATACGGGGTGCCTCTGTAACCACCACCCATTTCCTCTTGGCTCTGCCTCTTGACGAAGCGCATGTCCTCCATCACTCAGGGCTCACCGAGCCGTGTTCCCGTGCAGAAAGCCATCCCCGCTACTTACTCTCCGTCCAGCTTTGGGGGGTTAAAGGCGTGGCCTCGGGATACCACCACCCCTGCAGTCCCTGCCGTAACAGCACACATCACATGGTGTGTGCCGGAGATGATGTGTCTTCTCACCTTTGTACACAGTGTGTGGTCTTTACTGAGAATGCAGGAGGGTCACAGTAAAGGGGTGACGACCCCAGGGACTGGATAACTCAAGGAATATTGCCCAGGAGCATGTGTCTAGTAGAAAACCTAGACACCCCTCCACCCCCGCCCCCTGCAGCTGGCCTGGGCCACGCTGCCCCCCTCCCCAGCTTCTCTGGCTCCTTGTTTGTACCATGCATCCCGTTGCCTTCCACATTGAACCAGCTTCTCCAAAAATAGTCCTGCGCGCTAGTTCGCCCACGCAGGGTATCATCGGGGCTGCATGCCCACCTCCCCTTGCCTGGTGCAGTCTCATTGATTGATTTAAAACATAAACAAGCATTCCCAACCATCACTTCTGGGCCAAGAAAGCTAATTATCTCGATTGTTAAAACTCATTACAAAGTCCAGCGAAGGCATCCTGGTTGTGTTGGAGCAGTGAGCTGGGCTTTCGGATCGAGTCCCGAGGTGCACAGTGTCCCTGGGCAGGAAGAAAGGCTCCTTAGGAATCACTCACCCAAGTCCATTCCCCTTCACCACCTTGAGCTGGCCTGGAGGGAGCCCCACTTCCTGTCCCCCCAATCTGTGCCTGCGCCTGGACTTGGAAAGGAAATAATAAGAGGAGGATTCTGGGAAAGGTGAAGGGTCTATTTTTTCCTTCAGGCTCCAAAACAGCTCCACAGGCACATCTCTGTAGATGCCAAGAAGCTGCCAGAAGGAGGAAGAAAAAACAATCTCCCAGATCTCGAGTTCAGGCCTCATAATGGCAGCCGCTAATGTTGACTCAGTGCTTGTCATCTGCCAAGTGCTAGGCGGAGCCATGCAGCTGATCCGTGTTCGCTCGTGGACTCTCCTGGGAACACCACGCTCCCATTTGACAGATGAGGAAATCGAGGCTGACGAGATGCCGTGGCTCGCCCAAGGCCACGGGCTACTGAGTGGGATCAGGGTTCAATTCCTGGGCTGAGCCCCAGACCTCGGCGCTGGGCAGTCCTTCCCGGGTCGACAGTCTCCATGCCTCGCCCCATTCGCCCTGTGCCGTATGCCCGCTGTGCTCAGGCACGGGTACCCTGGTGGACCGGTGTCTCCCTGCCCTCCGGATTCTCGGGGGCTCGGGCAGGCCGAGGTGCACTGTGTTCTTCGCCGGGGCACATTCACCTAAGAGGCCGACCAAACCGACCCGGCTCCCTGTCCATGTCCTCTGGAGTGGACGGCGGCTTTGAACTTGGGATCCCCAGGGAGTCTACACCCCCTGACCTAGGGTGCAGGACTGTGTTGTGTGGCTTGGGGGGGCGTGGACCCCCAGCACTTATTAGGTTCTCAAAACAGTGAATATGTATTCTACTGCACATAAAGCATACCTCAATAAGAAAATAATAAACGCACGTAATTAATTATTAATTTTTTAGAAAAAGCTTGGCTCCTGGCAGGGAGGGACAGTCTTCTCTGTGATGCCTGAGCTGGACCAGTCCCCACGGGGGAGCTCTCAGGGCAGGTCCCAAGGAGGCAAATGGCCTGGTGTCCTGGGCACCGTGGTCAAGACTGG